TATTCTAGCTTATGGTGAACATACCATATATGTTCCAATTTTCAATCTCTGAAGGCTAAGCTATAAGTCAGGGAATGCCTATTTGTGTAATAGCTACCAAAAAACACTAGGGTTCAAGGTTCTCTAGTTTTTGAATCCTAAGTTTCCTCTATTCTGGCATATAAAAGAGAGATTGAGTAAAAGGTGCCAAGACATGCTAAGCCCAGAGGATAAGGACACATTGCCATTTCTACCTGTCTAACCACATTCCTTACTTGTCGTATGGAGATACAGTCAATACCAAAGCCTTGAAAGGGGCTTTGAGGTACATCATCAGGGATTACTAAAGCTTAGCTAAAGTCATGGTAGCATATGATCTGTTTTGAAAATAATGTGGGCATATGTATGTGTTTACATACATACATACATACATATATAATATATAATTTATATCACTAGTTTTCTGCCAGTAACCCTCCCAAACCCTTCTCATAGAACAATCTCGTATAACAAATTTTATATATAAATGGAAAAGAAGAAAAGAAAAAAATCAGCAAAATCATATATTGAAAAAGTCTGGAAAATACATGCAGTGTTCCACATTTGTGAACTTTTCATCTCAGGCAAAGGTGGGACTGTCTTCTCGTATCTCTCCTTCTCACATCTCCCCAAAGGAGAGAAATTGCTTATTCTTTGGAATTTTCAACATTTGCTTGTTTTGCAGTTGTTCTTTCTGTTGACCTTGTTGTAGTCATTATGCAGAATGTTTTCTTGGTTCTGCTTATTCTCTTCTGTATCAGATCGCGTAAAGCTCTCCATGCTTCTCTGTATTCATCGGCATAGTAGTATGCCATTACATTCATGCACCACAATTCACTAAGCCATTCCAGAATCGATGGGTTTCTATTCTGTTTCTAATTCTAATACTGTTTCTAAATCTCGAAAGACGGAACAGAATACAGAGGTAATATACCAATTACTCACTGAGGTATGTGCAGCATTCTTGAGGATGGGCTAGGCAGGCTTCAGCTGAAGACCTCAAGTGAAAAGGAATCCTTGGTCTTCCCAGGCAGTCAATTGTTCTTTTACACAGCTGCAATTCTTAGGCATTTCTTCTTTATCAGGAGCTGAAATCTGCCTCCTTGCAACTTCTACCTATTGTCCTAGTTGCACCCTGCAGGGCTGAGCGAGGTCTTCTTGGGGGCTGTGTGCTACAGAGGAAAGAGCAGTAGGCTAAAGACAGGAGACCTGGGTTCTAGTTCCATGTTCCATGTCTACATGGTACTTTGCCATCCCCTAAATATGTTGGGTCATGCTCTCAGGATCTTTCTAGGCACTGAACATTAGAAAGTCTGGTGGGCTCAACCTTATTAAAAGCAAATACATGATTTTGCTCAAGAAAGTTAAGTTGATAGAGAAATCACAAACTATTTGAGAAATGCTTATTTCAGTACAAAAATGCAAATACATTAGAAAACAACTGCATAATGAAATAAAATTTTTACTTGTAGCCCCAAAGATATGAGATATTCAAGTGTTCCTCCAAAAAGAAGATGAGATGGATCAATGACTGTCTTAGGTGCTTAATTAATGCTTGTTTACTGATCAGTCCAAAAGAACCTTCCCATGAGACCACTAGAGATGAATGTGAGGGTAAAACTGATCTGCTGGTCTACCCATCAGAAAAGATGGCTAAAACCAGAATATCCAGAGCAAAGATCCTCATCTCAGTGTGAACGCAGAGGAAAGGGAAGGAAGGCAGGAAGGGAGGCAGGAAGAGACAGAAGCATGGAGATAGAATGGGAAAGAGGCAGACAAGCAGGAAAGAAGAGAGGGAAGCAGGGAAGGAAGGAAGAAAAAAAGGAAAGCAGGGAAAAAGGAAGGAAAAAAGGAAAGAGGGAGGGGAGAAGGAGAGAAGAAGGGAAGAAGGAAGGAGAAAAGATAAAAGGAAAGAGGGAGGGAAGGAAGAAAGGAGGAAGGAAGAAATGATGGAAAGAAGGAAGGAAAAAAGAAGGAAGGAGGAATATAAAAGGGAAGGAGAGAAGGAGAGTAGAGGGAAGAAAAGAAGTGCTTCCTATTCCACTGTCAACCAAGAAGAAGAAAGAGAAGAGCAGAGCTAAGCTCTGAAGACTTGTGTCCTGAAGCTAAGTCACAGATTTTAAGAGATCAATAGCAATGATATTAGTCCTGAACAGTATGTGATACAAAGCAATTTAAGCATCATAAACATTCACAAAAATACTGATATTCTCCATTCATTACCCAGGAATAGAATTTTTTGACTTAAAAATTATTCAGTGATTGACAAAATACCCCACCAGAAATAAGAACAAGTATTAGTTGTCTATTCCTGTAACATCATAGGTTTATTTAAAAAAAAATAACATTCTCTTAAAGAGTTACATTTCCTGAGTTTTATACTTATATGAGGTATCATGACATAGTAGACAGAGTGATGGGTTTGGAATGGAAAAAAAAAACTTGAGTTCAAATCTTGCCTCTGACACTTGCTAATTTATGTGATTATTGCTAACTTTTACAAGTTTCTTAACCTTTTGTATTCCTCACTCAGCTTTCTAGGACTTATCTACCATGTCATATTTGGGTTGTATAATAGGATCATTTTCTGCTAGTGTTCTCCTTATCCCCAGTAACATGGGTTAGGCTAATTTTGCTTCTCTTGACACGGCTTCCAGGCCTTCTCTCGATGTAATAATGTGGCTTCCTGGTCATTTAATGGTATTTTTAAAAAAAGACCCACCTATGTAGAGCTGCGGCCCTTCAGACTTGGTAGATGCCCCAACACTGGGCAAGTCATCACAGGCTACTGATGTATTTTCCATATGAACACAAAGGGACCACCACTAGCCAGTCAAATTCTAGAGTATCCTTGTTGAACATCCTTCCTATGCTGTGGCTAAGTAAACCTTCTTTGCTAACTGTTGAATGACCTATAAGTATCTTATTTTGTTCTAAAATCAAACCTGAATTAACAAAATACACACCTGATTCAGGCTTGCCCCTTATAGGTTGCAACCTATGTTACTAAAGGTAGTTTCCCATACTGACAGGTTCACAGAACCTTCCTACATATCAACTTGTATCTTATACTATAATGTCATTGTGGCTGAGCAGCATGGTTTAGTAGAAAGAACATTGTTCTAGCCAAAAGTCCTGGCTCTAACATTTACTACTGTGTGATCTTGGGCACGTTGTTTAACATCTCTGTGCATCAGTTTCCTAATTTGTCAAGTTGAAATAGTATCACTTGCACTATGGACTTGAAGCATTGTTGAGATGGAAGCACACTGTAAACCTTTAGCCGATATAGGAATATGAGCACCCTATAATACCACCCCTATTAAAACAAACTAATTTAACTGGAGTCTATCTAACAGACCATATTGGAGGAAAGAAGGAGGAAAGAAGTGTTACTGCATTGTCTTGAGAGAAGGAGAGAATGAATATTCCTTGGACAAGATATTTGGGATATACAAGATAGGAAATAAGAAAGAGTTAGAATATGGTGCAGAGTTTCTTAAAAAGTTTAATCTTAACAATGACTAAGGAGTTTTACAATGTTACCATCGAACTCCTGGGGCTGGGGTGGGAAGGTCTTAAGTTTTGTTTGGTCCTCTGACCTACTGAGCCAATTCCAGTAGTCCAAGATGTTAATTTCAGGTTTTAACCGATGCTACCCAAAGCATTACCTTTGTACTAAAACTTTACAGTACAGTCTGCTAGCCTTTGGACTTAATGCTTATACCCTTGGCCTTAATAAAAGTGAGGGGCCATTTAACTGAATCTCTGCCATTAAAAAAATCAGATTTACAATCCCTTTCAAGTCTCCCCATAGAAAGTTAGTATACAAAATCTACTTTGATGTGCTCTTAATCTTAATCACTCATTCTACAGGCAGAAAATGTTAAGGGAAAAATCCCAATAAAATGCAAAAACAAAAATGTAAGCCAGTTTGGTAGAGACTGAACTGCAGGTTTGTAGGGACTTGGCTAGCTGCCAGTGTTAAATAGAATCCAGTTGGTGGGGACAACAGGGTTCCTGGCAGCAAAGCAGGACTGAAAATCTGACCAAATAATGTCTTTCCCAACCAATGACAGCTAAAATCTGTTCTCTGGCTGTTATTGCTGTGAATAAAAGAGACAGCTATTTTACTTAAACATGAAAGTGCAATAGAAAATTGTCATTTCCATTACATTAAAGAAATCCAATGGAAAATGTTTCAGGATCCATGTAACTAAATTTGGTTTCTTTTGCAAGCTTCCAACAATTCTGTAGTACATGGTAATGTGATTCTACTGATTGCCACCTTGAAAATAATCTGACCTCCTCCTTCTGATGTGTTATGTGTGTGTGTATACATACCCACATACATATGCATGTGTGTATATAATAGCTAACATTTATATAGTGCTTACCATGTGCCTGGCATTGTGCTAATTATTATCTCATTGAATCCTCACAACAACCTTTCCAAGTAGGTGCTATTACTACCCTCATTTTACAGATGAGGAAATTGAGACAAACAGAAGCAAAGTAACTTGCCCAGTCACAAAGCCAGTAAATGCCTGAGGCTGGATTGGAACTCAAGTTCTACTGCTCAAAGCCTGGCACTCTTTCCACTTTGCTACCTAGCTGTATACACATATGTATGTAAGTATGTATCCATACATATACTTATATGTGTGGACATGTATATGTATATATATATGTGTGTGTGTGTCTGTGTGTGTAAACACATACATACACATGCATATATATATATATATATTCTAATCAAATCATAGGCTCATAGGCTTAAAAATGAAAGGGGCTTTAGAGAACTTCTAGTCTAATATGCTCAATTTAGAGATAAGGAAACTGAGCCTCAAAGAACTAAAGGGTCACATAAGATTATAAGTTGCAGACCCCAAATTTGAACCAAGGTCTTCTGACTCCAAATATAATCTATTTCAAAAGGACCTCATTTTGTGCTTCCCTCAGATGCCTCCTTTACTTTTCAGGAAAAGGTAAAAGGCTAAAACAAGCAAAAGAAGAAGCGATGGCTGAAATAGAGCATTATAGGATGCAGAAAGAAAAGGAATTTCGGGAAAAACAATCTTTGGTAAGTATGAATGTCATTTAATTTCTTATACAACATTTTAAGCAGAGTCCCACGGGAAGCAGTATGACATACCGAAAAGACCATTGAAGAGGGCGTACAAAGACCAAGATCGTAGAGCTGGTTTTGACATTCAACTATCTGGGCAACCTGACTTAGTCTCAATTTCTTCATTGGTAGAATGAAGGGGTTGGAGAAGATAGTTCAAGCCAATCCAATCCAACTAAATTCAACATTCATTTAAGTGCCTACTCTGTACAGAACACAGTCCCTATTTATTCCAGTGGAGAGAGAAGGCATATGTATAGATTAACTAGACTGGGGCAGCAATGTGGCATAATGGATATACAGCTGGCCCTGGAATCAGGAAGATCTGAGTTCAAATTTGACCTCAGATACTTACTAGCTATGTGACCTTGGACAAGTTACTTAACTTCTGTTTCATGTAGTTTCCATAATATGTAAAACAAGGATAATAATAGCACTTACCTCCTAGGGTTGTTGAGAGGCTCAAAGGAGATGATACACCTAGCACAGTACCTAGCATATAATAAGTGTTATGTAAATGCCAACTATTAGTAGTAGTAGCAGCAGCAATAATACTGCATACTAAAGGAATAAAAGGAAAGATGATCTTCTAGTTGTCTTGGAAAAGGAAATTTCATTACTGGAATTTCCCTATACCAATGAACCATTTATGTAATCATATTTCACCATTTTTTTCTTTTAAGTTTTTGGTTATTTTTAGGGCTTTCCCATGGAAGTTTCTTTAAAAAAAATTCATTTTAAGACTGAGTGGCTGGCAAAAGTAACATGCCATCCACAAATGAAAGAATAACCTCAGCACATGTTAAAGTGAAAAGAATCTATTTATAAAAATAAGTTTCTTATATATTCTTGCTTATGTATAAATCAAAGAGCTTCTTTGGTTGACAGGAAATATAGAAATGACCAAAGCAGACATGATTCTCCTCCCCCGCGCCAAACCCGATGATAAGCCAAACAACGTTAAAGGAAGCAGTCAGCCCCACAGCAATATACTACAAATATATCAATGTAGTGAAGTGGATTTTGTAATAAACAATGTGATGGGGCTTGATTACAATGTGCTAATGATATCCTGGGAAACCATTTTCTTAAGATCAATAGTCAGTATATGAAGCACCTAGAGTTTGAGGGAATGCAAAGGCATCTAATATTTCCTTAACCTTGCACTAAACTGCCTTTGATTTAATTGTATTTATTCTGTATATTCTTATTTATGTGTATAGTCTCCCCCATCATAATGAAAGTTCCTTTAAGTAGGAATTGTTTCCTTCGTTATATCTGTATCCTATGTACCAAAGAGTAGGTACTTAATAAATTCTAACTGAGGATCAGTTTCTTATAGAAACCAAGGAAATACTTTCATCCTCTGACACCGTCTAGTTCACCTACGATTTTTTTGTTTTTGTGAATGATGTTTTGGTGTAAAAGCAGGATCATAGAGGGTATTCAGTTGCCATCAAGCCCAACCCCCTAATAATAATAATAATAATAATAATGTAATAATAATAACAACAATAATAGCTAACATCTAGATTGTGCCTGCTATGTGCCAGGCACAATGCTGAGCACTTTATAAGTTGTTACTTCGTTTGGTCTTCTCAACAATCCTGGGAGATAGGTGCTGTTATTATCCCCATTTTACAAAAGGGGAAACTAAGGCATATGGGGTTAATTGACTTGCCCAAGGTCACAGAGCTAATAAGTGTCTGAGGCCAGAACTGAATTCAGATCTTCCTGACTCATAGCCCAGAGCTCTATGTATGATGGCACCACCTAGCTGCCTAAGGCACAGAAATGGTTAAGGGATTTGCTCAGGATCACACAGTTAATACATATCTAAGGGTGGATTTGAACCCAGATCTTGCCAACTCTAAGTCCAGTGCCCTATCCATTATGCCACACTGTCTCTCCTTTTCTTCCTTTGGTAAGAACTAAAAGACCAACTTTTACAAGAAAAAAATTACTTATCAGAAATCACATGATACTTTTTATAAACAGAATTATTATCCCTTAGTACATCAATATAAATAAAACTGAAAAAAAAAATGTGTAATACAATGGAAAACGTGTTGAATTTGGGACAAAGGGCCTAGATTCAAATTCTAAATCTGCCATTTACTACCTGTGAGAATCTGGCAAGTTGCTTTGCTTTTCTGGGCCTCAATTGCCTCATCTCTAAAATGAGATGGTTGAACTCGACACCTACTAAACTCTCTTATATATAAATCCATGGCCTATGACTGACTCCTAGCTTTCCTGTCTTCCTTCAAGTCTTAGCTAAATTTCCACCTTTTTTTCCTCTTTTCTTTCTTGTTTTTTTTTTAAGGCAATTGGGGTTAAATGACTTGCTCAGGGTCACACAGCTAGTGAGTGTCAAGAGTTTGGTCTGAGGCCAGATTTGAACTCAGGTCCTCCTGACTTCAGGGCTAGTGTTCTATCTGCTGCGCCACCTCACTGCCCCAAATTTCTACCTTCTGCAAGAAGCCTTTCCCAGTCCTCCTTAATCTTAGTGCCTTCCCTCTGAGATTACTCCCAATTTATCTTGAAGAGATTTTGTTTATATAGAGTTGCTTGTGTACTGTCTCCTCCATTAGACTGTGAGCCTCAATAACAGACACTGTTTATTTTTTGTCCTTTTTTGTATCCCTACTATGTAACACAGTGTGTGGCACATAGTAGGTACTTATTAAATGTTACTCAACTGACTCTGACTACATGGAGAGAGAGACAGAGAGAGAGAGACAGAGACAGACAGACAGACAGAGACTGAGACAGTGAGACAGAGACAGACAGAGAGAGAGATTATTAAATGCTTACTATGTGCCAGGTAAGTACTTAGCACTGAGTATGCAAATAGAAGCAAGTAAGACAGTCTTTACCTTCAAGTGATCTTACCTTCTCATAGGATGAAGACTACACATGAAGAGGAACCAGAATTCATGGGTGGAATGGGGTTGGGAAGTGATATGCATCTGGAAATATAGACTAGAACGTGATGCAGAGGCTTGGTCCCGGACAAGAAAAGATGAAAGCTCACTTATCAGAGCCCAAGGTGGTTCCAAGGGCATAGTGAGAAGGAGGAAGGAGGGGGCAAGAGGGTCAGGGAAAGGTAGAGAAGGAAGAGAAGACATGAGATTGATAGTCAGATTACACACAATAAGGTTTGGAAACGGTGACTGGGAAACGCCCTTCAAACTAACAGACATTCCTGTAATAAACCCTTTCTGAGAAACAGGACACAGGAAAGATCTATCTATAATCAAGGAGCATCTATCAGGCACAATCATGTGTCTTGGGAAATATTTCTTCTCTGACTCTTTCCTGACCAATTCAACTATGACGAGCTCATGAGACAAGAGTACCTAGGAACACAGTCTTCCCAACTATCACCACCTTTGGCTATTGTACTGAAAAAAAAAAAAAAAAAGAAAAAGAAAGAAGTTTTGTTATCTTTTTTCTGTATCAAAAATGAAAAAAAAAAATCCACACAACACCAAAGCCATCCTAACGCTGCAAACCATGGGATTGTGGGGTTGCAGAATCTCTTGATATGCAACAGCTAAGAAGGCTCCTCCCTAGGAGTTGCATAAGATGTAAATCTAGTCCAGGAAATTAACCATCGACATTGAACTTGAATAAAAACTCATCATTTTCACAATTCAAGCCTAAGCCAATTTCATAGCTGGCTGATCAAACTGTGTTCACAGAAAAAGGCCAGAGTACACAGGGCTGCTCTGCTGAAGGCTTATAAAAACCATCTCAGCACTTCTACTCTTCGTGTGACCTCATAGTGTTCGTTGTATTGTTATCCTAGGGGAGACTCATCATGATTAACCTAAGCCTGGGGTCAAGCAGGAAGACCTGCATAGAGTCTGAAGAAGAAAGAGTCTTTGGGACAATCATATTGAGTTCCATGTGATGCTTCCAAAATATGTACAAAGACACTTATGGTCCCATATCCATCATAATCCATTAAACTTAATGTTCTGTATGTAGCTTCTCAAAAGGATATGCTGATCTTCGTTGTAGTAAACCAACTCAATGTGGTGTCAATAATACTTTTTTATTATACATCAAAAATGGAATAGTGATTATAAATATCACTATCTAAAGGTTACTGAAATAACAATAGCATATATAGATGTAGGTAAATAGAGAGAGCTGATAGATGACAGATAAACATACATGCATATATGTGTGTATTTATTTGGTTCAGTCATTTTTCAGCTGTGTCCCCACTCATCATGACTCCATTTGGGGTTTTCTTGGCAAAGGGTGGTTTGCCATTTCTTTCTCCAGCTCATTTTATGGATGAGAAAATAGAGGCACACAGGGTTAAAGAGACTTGCCTTGGGTCATACAGCTACTAAGTGTCTGAGGTCAGTTTCAAACTCATGAAGATGAGTCTTCCTGACTCCAGGCCCAGCACTCTATGCACTACACCACCTAGCTGCCTTACATACACACACACATGCCAATACACATACATGTGTATATAGGTATGTGTACATGTATAGATAGATAGATGATAGATAGATGGATGGATAGATGGATGTATGGATAGATAGATAGAGTGCTTTAAGGTTTGCCAAAAGCTTTACATTTGTCATCTCACTTGATCTTCTTCACAACCCTTTGAGATAAGTGCTATTACTTTTATTCCCATTTTTATGTATGAGGAAACTGAGACCAAGGAAGGTTAAGTGACTTGTTCAGGGTCACATAGCTAGTAAATATCTAGGATTTGAACTGTCTTCCTAATACACCACCTAGGTCCTCCATGAAACACCACAGGAGAGAGGGGTAAGGAGGGAGTTCAAAATCCCCTCAAGCCATTTTGCCAGAGGTATAATTAGCAGTGTTTTTGCCTGGACAGAAGGTTTACTTCAACTGCAGCCCCATGGGTTAGGAAGGACATCCTCGGTACCCCAAGTTTTCTATCCTGCTGAAAAGTAAAAAGTGAATAGAATTTCCCATCAGCGGCTGAGGAGGGGAAAGTGAGTGACCACCACTAAAAGAGCTGGATAGGAGATAAAGAGGCCATAAATCTCCCACCCCACCCCCACCACTGAGTGGAGACTCTGGGTACCCCCACTGTAATTACATCTTTGCATTTTCTTTCAAAATGGCTCAATTTGAGTTATAGTGAATTAGCTGGACTACATTTTAGGAGAGAGAAAACTGATAACTCCACATGTTAAGAAGGAAGAGAAATCACTTTTCAGCTCTGCTTTTGTAAAATCTTCCATTTGCCCCCAACAGAATAACAAGCAAGCAAGCTCTTTGCAAGCATCCTGAGGGTTATTGTCCCTGAAGCTGTAACCCTTAGCCACATCATAAAACATGTAAAATAGCCTCCAGACAGTTCCCTGTCAAGTACACATTTCTAATTATTGAGGGTTTTTTTTTATATTTCAGTATGGTGGATCTGACAGCCTTGAAAATTCAGGAAATACCCCCAAATTATTTTTCAAATATGTTTAGGGTTTGGCCAAACCCCAAACGTATTTTGATAAGTCATCTTCCCCATATTTTTAAAACCTTATGAGCAACAAGGAAAACACAATCCATATGGTTCTGATTCATTTATACTTAACTCATCAAAATGTTATTTTGAATAAGCTATTGGATGTCTAAGGAGCTATAATATCCTTTCAAAGCTGTTTTTCTTTGAACTGGAAGGTCAACTTTAGCCTGCGCTATAAACAGAACAGGACTAGAACCTGGATAGACTCAAGCTCATTTGATTTCAAGTTTAGAACTCAGGAAGATCAAATGAGCACTGAAGTCCACTAGACTTTCACAGCCCTCCAGAAGAAGCTTACACTGATTTTCCTGTACTACATACCTTGTATACCTTTCCCAAATGCACATAGAAAAAAACTAAGCAAAAGAAAACAAAGAAAGGGCACATACATGTAAATCAAACTGAAATATGAAACTGAGCTTCCTAAACAGATAAATTGAGACTCAATGGTTGGCTTTACAGAAGAATGCCTAATTTTACAAAATGCAGAATTCCTTTAAATCCTTTGAATCCTTTTTGGCAGTCTAGTGAATCCTAGGGTCTACTTCTCAGGATAATGTTTGTTGCCTTCATTCACAATTGAAGAAAATATCAAATTTCAGTTAGAGGTTAGTGAAATAGATTTGTAATTTGTTTCCATCTAAATTCACGGACCCCCAAAATCTAACAGCTGCTTCAAATGTTGAGCTTCCCCACAGTGTTTCAATTTTAATTTACAGATTATTAACTTACTGCCAGAGATTCTAGGATTATTAAAGAGGTCAATTCAGCATTGGGGAACATTGAGAATTGAAATAAGGACATAAAGATTAAAATGTCTCTAAAAGGATAATGCAAGTTGTCCCACCCTGTCATCTGTCCACATGACTGCTTTGGCAGTCCTCTTAATACCTGTGCTGTAATAAAAAGACATTAAACAGATTCAGGCAATATTGTTAGTTTAAAAGAAAAAGTGGATATGAAGCCCAATGACTTGTGTTTTAATCTTGGCCCTGCAACTTACTATCTGTGTGACCTTTGAACAGGCCATCTCACCTTTCTCAGCCTCAGTTTCCTCATCTGTAAAATAAAGGATTTAGACTCAATGATCTTCTGGCTCTAAATCTATGGTTCCCCGATGACCAAGGTTTAAATCTTGCCTAAGATATTTGGTAGCTTTTTTGATTATGGAAAAGTCTCTTGACTACAGAGAACATTATCAGTTTTCTTATCCATCAAACAAGGAAAATAACAGATATCCTCACAGGGTTTTTGTGAAGAATGTCTTTTTGCAAACCTTAAAGTGCTAGAAACTCTGAGTTTTAATTATTATAATGCAGGGGTGTGGCCTTGAGGCCACATGTGGCCTTCTAGGTCCTCAAGTACAGCCTTTGACTGAATCCAAACTTCACAGAACAAATCAAAGGGCTGTACTTGAGGACCCAGAGGGCCACATGTGGCCTCAAGGCTCCAGGTCCCTCCCCCCTCCTTGTTATAGTGCATAGGTCTGAGCATGTCACTTCCCTGCTTAAAAATCTTTGGAATTGCCCATTTTTATCAAATAAGATGCAAACTCCTTAGCCTGCAGTTCATAAATATAACTCCATAATATAGCTCCAAACTCCATTTCCAGCTTTATCTGACAATTCTCCTCTGTGTACACTCAGTGCTCCAGGCAAATTGGACTACTCAATGTTTCACCAGTCTTGTCTTACTCCTTCAAACTCCCATGCCTTGAAACATGCTAAATTCAATGAGTGTAATAGAATCCATCCCCTCCCCCACTCACTCTGTCTTCCCATATCCCTTTCCTCCTCACTGTCTTGCTCAGGTACCATAGTGAGCCTTCTCTCTTTCCCGAGCTGCACCCACTCATTGCAGTGTGGGGAGCCAAGATCACGAGGACACAGAATCATGTGTTTAAGTGGAACTTCTTAAGTGGGCATCCCACAAATGGGAGAAAAAACTTTCAACAACCAGGAGCTATGAGTTACCCTTTGGCACCTGTGATCTCTAAGCTTGAGCCCACTGTCCCCTGGACTCTCTATGTACTTACATTGTAGGCTTGGGGAGGAGGATATTTTGTATCAACTGTTTTAAATTCTAGATGACTAAATAAGTATCAACAAATAATCTTGGGGGGAAGCACACCAGTGAAGACTTGAGTCAATGACATTAAAGAAATTCTTGAACCCTCAGGAGTATTACCCTAAAACCCTAAAAGAAAGATTTTGCCTTGTTTTGGGACCCAAGACTAATTGTGAGAGTGGGGGTTGGTATAAGGATCCTCAGTTATATGGGCTATGGGTGTAAAGGGCATTAATGAAGATTAAAAGTCCACCACACTTTGGAAGCTGGTTTCATGAGTTGCTGTGGGAAAGAGTGATGGTCATTAATGACATGGAATTTAAATCCAACCAGTGGGGTTTGAAGCGACTCAGGGTGTAATATCTGAGTTAGCCACCAGGTGGCACTCAAAGCCCAAGTTGTTCCTTTACACGGACCGCCAGCCACTTTGCCTTTCACTGTCAATGGCTGAAAACAGTTTTTCCCTTTCTGCACACAGAGGTTTCCTGAGTTGCCATCTAAAAGACAATTAATATTAATTAATATTTATTTAATTTTAAGATAGTAATGCTTTCATTGTCTCAGTTTACCTCTATGCTTTGATATATCTGACCTTAACTAGTCTGGTTCTGGGATTATCACAGGGCGGTACTTGAAACTCCTCTGACTTGGCAGGGCTTGCCTGAACTTTGCTTTCTTTGACATCACCCTTGAGAACCTAGGGTTACCTCAGAGAAGGACTTCAGTCTAGATGCTTTACTCAGTGGGTGTCTAATATTTGTGTTGTGAGTTTTATTAAATTTCTCTAGAGGTCATTTCAAAGATTTCTGGAGTATTTAGAGTAAAAAATATAAAGTCATTGACAAACTGGGTAAATAATTTAAATAACTCTTGACTCAATGAGTTTCCTTCTTTTTGCCTTTGCAGATAATGGGTTCCCAAAGCAACCTCTCCGTTGAGATAGATGAACAGACAGCAGGAAAGATTCGGAACCTCACTGGTAACTACAAGGAGAGCTTGGAAAATGTGATGAAGCAACTTCTGGGCATCGTTTGTGACTTGAAACCTAAAATCCACAGGAACTACCGAGTCACAGATTAAACACTGTTCAATTAATCCATAAATAGCATACGTATATTTTCTGGTGGCTTTGACTCCAGCATTTGTATGGTAGGGGGCTGTGATTGTGACTTTCAAATCATCTAGGTCCTGACAGATTTTAGAACGACATAATTCACACACAAGCACTGAATGAAAAGGGGCTGGTTATTACTTTTCCTCCATAGTAGTTACGACCCTGTCATTTAAACAGCCAAGTCAGCCAGGCAAAATCACTTATCATTCCACACTTTACATAAGGCCAGACTGACAACTGTTTAGTGGGTGTTGGGGTTTCTTTTCTCCCTTTAGAAAAATATGCTGTTATTTGAGGGTGTTGGGTCAAATCAGTCTCAGTCTGCAATGGGTTCAACATATCATAATCTAAAACTGAAGTAATTTATTTTATTTCATATTACAGCGAGTTCCTTTGCAAGGATGGAATGAGTTAACTTGAATTTGAGTCAGACTAATGAATGAGCTCTGCTAAAACTTAAAAGTCTATGCACAAAATAGTTCATAACTGCCCCTCCAACATACACACACAGAGGGAATAAAAGAGACAAAGAAAGAGAGGGACACAGAGAGAGAGAGAGAGAGAGAGAGAGAGAGAGGCATCCCTCAATCACGTAAAATTCGTACTGCCACTATCTTCAATTCCTCAAGTAACAATTTTTTCCCACTCTGAACTACAGTTTTAAGCAAAATTAATTAAGAAAAACAATATTAGGGATTTGAGTGAGTTTCTTTTTGTTGCTTTAATGTGTTCATTTTTGCTTTTAATAAAAAATAAATAGCTCCCAAGGGATGTCTTGAGGTCAGCAAACATTCCACCCAATCGACAACACCAAAAACCAAGAACCATTGCTCCGAATGCAGACCTGTAGGTGCCAGCACATTCTTGATCATCAAAAAGTGAATGCAAACCTTTTTAACATCTGCGGGGGGTGGGGAGAGGTTTGGGGGCAGAAAGAATTAGTAATGTTTGTCTCCTAATGTAAAAAATTCAGATAATGGATTTTAAAATACAAATATAAAAGACCTTTGGATTAAGCACCATTTTGGATTAACTACCTATTAGAAGAGAAAACCCAGAGTCATCTATATTTTCTTAAAAGACCCAGATATAGCCACTTAAAGAAGATGGAAGGGTACAATGAAAAAAATAGTGACTCTGAAGTCAATAAGACCTGACATCAAATCTTGCCACTGTTACAACTTTGCAAGCTTGGGAACATCATTTAACCTCCTTGGGTCTCAGTTTCCTCATTTGTAAAGAGAGGAAGGATTAGATGACCCCTGAGATTTTCTTCTTTTTATCTATGATTTTATGAGATCTACAGTATCTAAGTAGAAGTGTCAGAGAAATAGAAGTAATATTCAGGCAATAAGTTTTTTAAAGACATTTTATGTCTATATTTGTACTCTTGGGGCACAAAATGGGCACTTTGGGGGGTGATTAAAGCTGCATTTTGCCATTTGCTTGGCTGGTTTGAAGTCAACAAACATTTTTTAAATGCCCACCATGTGTCAGGCACTGTGCTAAGTGCTGGGGATACAAAGAAAGGTAAAAAAAAATGGTCACTGCCCTCAAAGGGCTCACAATCTAATGGGGAAGACAATGTGAAAACAATTACATACCAGCAAGATATACACAGGATAAATTGGAGATAATCACAGAAGGAAAGCATTAAGATTAACAAGGATCAGGAATTGTTTCTTGCAGAAGGTAGAATTCTAGCTGAGACTTCAAGGAAGCCAGAGAGTGTAGGAGACAGAGATAAGGGTGAAGAGAATCCTAGGCCTGTGGAACAGTCAGAAATCTCTCGTCTGCTTTTCCATATTCTGGACCAAATGACTAGTGTAAGATGCTTTCATAGGAAAGCCCTCCATAGGTTCATGTTGGAAGTGAGAAAGCTTGGCTCTTCCTTAGAAAGGAGTGACCTAGAACAGATTTTCTCTGCTCCACATAATTGGAGAGTTCTATTGCTATATCCTGAAGGGCCGGAATGGGAGAAACAGGTTCATAATTAATTCTTCAGTCGTGAATTCTCACTGATGGGAGTGTTTTCAGCAGCAGAGATGACAAGTTAACCATACCTCATCCTGTCCCACTCATCCATTACTTCTCACAGGTTCTCCACAGGCCTACATCCTAAGTGTTGAGGCCTTCCTCTAGATGTCTTGTGGATGTCAATGTAACCTGCAGTCTGTGAATCTGTTACCCTTGCTTTTACAACATGACCCACCCACATCTTTTTTCCTGTTATACATCATCCTACATAACCTTGATGACATGTTTTGTGCTATTTTGTGTACACAATTCGCCATTGGACATATGCTGCAGCCTTCTTCCACAGACCATCTCTCCCTTGCTCTTTGGATGACCCACAGTTCCAGTTCCTCCAAGTTTGTGGTATTCTATGATTCATAGCTTATAGCATAATTATTTAGGCACTGGTTAGAACATGCAATTTTCCTGTTTGATAAACCCCAGTTGCACCCTATTTTTTTTCTAGGATCAATATAAACTCATCTGTTAGACATTTTAAGCCCTTCACAATCTGTTTCCAGTCAATCTTTCCAGGCTTATTATATGTATTATCCACATTCACACACTGTAATCCAGCTAAAATGTCTTTCTTTCCCTTCTTCATATTTAACATTTCATCTCCCATCTCTGTATCTTTCCACAGGCTATGCATCTTTCCTGAATTCACTCCCTCTTTTCCTCCAGTTATTAGAATTCCTAATCTCCTTCAAAACTCAGTTTAGATATCACCTCCTACATGAATGTCTTTTCTGATCCTCCCAGCCACTAGGGTCTTCCCAAACCCCAGTTCTAAATTACCATACATTTCCTTTGTCTAGATGTCATACACACTTACATGTGCACATGTTGTTTCATAAAAAGAATGTGAGCTCTTGGAAGGCAGAGACTATTTCCTTTCTGTCTTTGTATTCCCAGTACTTAACACAGACCTGGCACATAGAGCATTTGATAGATGTTTTTGTTCTTTTTTTTAATTGATTAATTAATTGATTAATGACATCTAAAATCATATTAAAACAAAATAACAGATGACATTTTTAAAAGTTTTACTACTTAGAAAATCAGTGTTAAAATAAAAAAAAAACTTTATTTTTGGCCCCAAAGATTAAGAAAAAGTTTTATATTTTCCTTATTAAATTTCAGCTGCTATTTGGACAAATGTTCTAGCCTGTCAAAATCTTTCTGCATCTTAACTCTTTCATCTAGTTTGTTAACTATCCCTCCTAAATTTATGTTGCTTATGAATTTGATAAATGTGAGTGTGTATATCCCCAAATTGACAAAATGTAAGACATAAGGCCAAGCACAAATCTCTAGAGGAATTCCACTGGAGACCACCTTCCAAGTTAACATTGAACCATTAAGGAACACTTTTAGGGTTCAGTCATTCTATCAACATGCTGTAGTATATAAATTGTTGGACTTGGAGTCAGAAAGACCTGTGTTCAACTCCTGCCTCATATACTCACTAACTGTGTGACCCTGAAAAAGACACTTAACCTCCCTTGGCTTCAGTTTTTTCATCTGTAAAATGAATGGGGATTTCATAAAGACTGGAAGGTTGGTGTCAAGATGTTCATTGAGAAGGGTTATTTCTGTTCTGAACCGCAGTACTGGGGATATAGCATGTTTGTCCACAACAACTGTAAGATGTTCAGATTTTGTAAGTCAAAATGCCATAAAAGCTTTTAAAAGAACCACAGTCCTCCTAAGGTCAGGGGTCTTCTAAGAGGCAGTCAGCAAAGAACTGTATAGTGGATAATTAATTTGAATTTGAAAAAAGTAGAATGAGCCTAACAAATACGAGAGTTGAGGCCATGAAAAAGAGTAGAAGAGATCAAACAAAAACATCAAGCTAACTTTATAATGAGCATGCTGAAGAAGAGCAGGAACTAGAGAAAATTCAAGTTATCCATGAAGTCAAAACATTCACCTTATCTAGACACCAAGTGCGGGCAAAGGAAAACAATGGAAGAAGAAATGATGCTCAGTTACAACAGACTGTCAACATGCCAGGTGCTTCTTGGATCTGAAAATGTTCCACAACCCTTACTATATATCTCTCTCCAAAATATCTAGTAGAGAACGGAAACTCTACTCCATTATTGATTTTTCACATTAGTTCAGTCAAACAAGCTCTAGTAAAAAAAAAAAATACATCTCTTCCCCATTGTTAGCTGTAAACCATCAAATGGTTGTGGATGTTAGATCATGCATTTCAAGGTTAAAGCTTCACTAAATAAGTGCTATTTTGTAAGTCATAAAAGTGCTCATAATTGCAGAAGTGCATAGCAAGAAAATGGCTGTGTCACTTGGATAATGGCTTCAGGCATTTATCTAATACAATAATGGCATTGTGTTTTAAGGTCATTGATGTAAAAAATAAAGTATTTCTTTTGAATGCTCCCTCTTTATTGTTATGGGAATGGAATACAATTATATGTTTACTAAATTGCCAGTTGGTACAGTAATTGGTTATAACTTATATTTGCTACTTAAATATGCGGTAAAGTTTTCTTGTTTTGCTTTTGTATTTTTTGGTAGAATAGTTGATGATAGAAAATCTTATAATATGAAACAAAAAAAATGAAAGGATTAGATTGGATGGCTTCTAATGTCCCTTCTGGATCTAAAGTTATAAGTCCAAATAGTTGTATTAGCCCATGTCTCTCCATCTTTGTAAAAGAAGGGAATAATAGATTTTATCCAATGCTTTGCTATAATCTAGGTAAAATGTGTCTGCAGAATCTTTCTGTACTACTGTTCTAGTAACATTGTCAAAAAAGAAAGTAAGGCTAATGTAACCTAACTTGTTCTTGGTGAGGACATACAAGTTCTTTGCGATCATCACAACCTTCCTTTTAATATTTCACTCTATCAAATTGCCTGGAATAAAAGTCAAGTTCATTGGTCTCTTTGTAGATTCAGTTCTTCATTCTCTTTTGAAAAT